GACAGGTACCAGGAAGGGCTTTTCATGTGGAACCCTGAAATCTAGGAAGACTTTTCAGAGGAAGGGGTGCTATGAGTGAGGTTCAAAGGAGCCCCATGAATGAGCAGGATAAAAAAGAAATGGGATAGCCGGGCAGTGGTGGCGCTCGCCTTTAATCCCAGCTCTTGGGAGGCAGAGGCAGGCGTATTTCTGAGTTCGAGGCCAGCCTGGTCTACAGAGTGAGTTCCAGGGCAGCCAGGGCTACACAGAGAAACCCTGTCTCGAAAAACCAACCAAACAAACAAACCAAACCAAACCAAAACCCCGGAATGTGACAGAGGGGGTGTCAGCTAAGGCTTGGACCCTCTTCACTGCAGTCTCTCTGGCTTTATTCAAAATAAACAAACAAACAAATAAATAAATAAGTAGTATGCATATTCGCCCAACCCCCACTCCACTGCTGCAACTATCATAATCAATAATCTCAGCTCCCATTGCTGGAGGATCTGGTATCCTGGACCCCACGGTCTCATTCGGGGCAATTATTCTCACCATGTTTAGCCTTCACAATTGCATCTACGAGTAGATTGGCACATTTCTTATATGGTTAAGACCTTTTGGACTAGCTGGATGGCGGTGGCGCACGCCTTTAATCCCAGCACCTGGGAGGCAGAGGTAGGTGGATCTATTGAGTTTGAGGCCAGCCTGGTCTACAGAGTGAGTTCCAGGACAGCCAGAGCTACACAGAGAAACCCTATCTTGAAAAATAAAAGCAAAACAACAAACAAAAAACCCTCTTGGACTGAGAGAAACGAAACAATCAGTCCATCTTCACACAGCTCAGAAGAGACAGAGATAGAACTGAAGTAATTACTGCGACCGCATTAATCAGAACCCACATCAGTCATTGGTCTCTGATCAGCCTATGGGTGGGCTGCTTTTGAGTCAGGTGTCCACCTTGGAGCCAATCAGTTTCCTGTTAAGTTCAGAGCCCTATCGACTCGGACCAGTTTCAATATGAATATTCAATATTCATATTTAATATTTCATGCATAATATTTCAGCTAAGAATGACTAGCTTTTCTTGTATGATATTCAGCTAATAGTCCATGCTTTCATGTCTCATAAGAAAACCCAGGAAATTTCCATATAAAATCTATCTCTAAACTGGCTAGTTTTATGTCTAGTTGTCTTGTTAGAGTTATCTGAAAGTATGTGTGTGGGGGACCTCAACTGTGAAAAAAGTGCCTCCGTGAGATCTAGCTGTAGGGTTTTTTCTTTTTCTTTCTTTTTTTTTGAAATTATTTTTTTATTGGATATTTTATTTACATTTCAGATGTTATCACTGTTTCCCATTCCCCCCAACCCAGAAACCCCCTATCCCATCCCCCCCTCCTCTTGCTTCTATGAGGATGTGCCCCCACCCACTCACCCACTCACTCACTCTCACCTCCCCACCCTCGAATTCTCCCACACTGGGGTATCCAGCCTTCACGGGACCAAGGACCTCCTCTCCCACCTATGCCCCACAAGGTCTTCCTTCCCTACATATGCTGCTGGAGCCATGGGTCCCTCCCTATGTGCTCCCAGGCTGGTGGTTTAGACCCAGGGAGCTCTGGTTGGTTGGTATTGTTGCTCTCCCCATGGGGCCCCAAAACCCTTCAGCTCCTTCAGTCTTCTCTCTTAACTCCTCCACTGGGAACCAGTGATCAGTTCAATGGTTAGCTGTGGGCATCCACCTCTGTATATGTCAGGGGTGTTTTCTTAATTCATGATTAATGGGGAAGCATCTAGCCCATTGTGGGTGGTGCCATCCCTGGGCTGGTGGGCCTGGGTTCTATAAGAAAGCAGATTGACCAAGCCATGATGAGCAAGCCAGTAAGCAGCAGCCCTCCATGGCCTGTGCACAGCTCCTGCCTCCAGGTTCCTGCCCTGCTTGACTCCCTGTTCTGACTTCCTTCAGTGATGGGGTGAGTGTGTCATCGCAACACTAGAAACCCTGAGACAAGACAGTCACTACTGAACTACTCAGCCATGTCATGCATGTCCATCTAATAAGTACCTTTTAAATAATACATTCATATTATTTTGCTCTCACACCCCTAGAGGGCCTTGTCTAATACAATTGAGAACTTGGCCAAATCAACAAGTAACCCTGTCACAATGAATCCTTGAGAGAGAGAGAGAGAGAGAGAGAGAGAGAGAGAGAGAGAGAGAGAGAGAGAAGACAGAGCATCAGTTCTTTCTGCTTTCTGAGACCTCAGCACCTATCAGAGACCTTAAAGGAGGAAAGGCTCACTTTGCTTCACGTTTCAGTCCTTCATGGCAGAAGGCCTTGCTAGAAGGTGGTGCATGAATTCACTTCTGGGGAATTAGGGAGAAGGACAAGGAAGCAGAGAACAGACAGGAACCAGAGGCCAGTATGGCTAAAAGCCTACCCTTAGGGATCTATTTCAGCCAATTAGACCTCACCTTCTAAAGGTTCAGGCCTCCTGAAATATATCCACCATCTCAGGAGTATGCATTTGAAACATGAGCCCATGGGGGAGGGGAGCATTTCAGGTTCAAATGATAAGAGCAACACACGGGTCATGCTTTAGGTATTTATTTATTTCACACCGCATTTCGTAAGTGGTCTATTTAGTCTTTAAATGGAGTTTAAAGGTTTTGTGGTGGTTTTAAGTCTCTGAGAAAATGGAAGTAAAAGAAAAAGGAAATTGGGAGTCTTTCATGGAAACAAGGTGGAATAGATAACGACACATTCTCCATGTTGGGATGGTGGTGTGCACACATTCTCCATGTT